AGGATTGGAAGAGGGTGGGAAGGGGATAGATGGCTGATTGTGCAGTCAAAGTGGATGGACCTTGAACGAGTTGAGGAAGTGAGATGAAAGGATTCCGGGATGGAGATCAAGCCAGTGGGGGTGTCAGAAAGGCTAATAGCGAAGAGAGCAGCCAGGTCAGTAGAGTTTGAGCAGGTGACAGATATGGGGTGCGGCAAACCGTGGATAGATTTAAAGGTGAGAACGAAAATCTTGAACTCGATCCGCTGGGAGATGGGGACCCAGTGGAGCCGCATGAGGATAGCGGTGATGGGCTCGCGGAGTCTGTTCAGGAAAAGGCACAGACTACTGAGTCTGAATTGTCTGTAGCTTGTAAAGGGAAGAGGTAGGATGAGCAGAGCATTGGTATAGATAACTTCTTTATGAGAGCTAGCAGCAACACAGGCACTAAAAGCCATAAACATGCTGTGGTTCTATGATATATACTGTTCATTTTGTAGAAGAGGCTATTTAGATTTGGGCGTGTTTTTGTGACAGGCTCAGTGCATTACTGATGACCATTGCACTTCGCTGAAGGGTTTAACAAAGCGAATCGAGAAGTGATTCGCAGCTGAATGCCAGGAATTTCTCTGGCCAAAGTACATTACATCCCTTCAACTTCACATTTACAACAGCGTCATTTGTTTTTCCAGGAACTATCAATTTATAAAGGGCCATCCACACAGGGTAGCATCTTGAAGAGTTTAACAATGGCATAGTTTGATGCTGAGATGGGGAGGAAGGGGAGGTGACCATAGTGGAAGAGGAAAGTCTTCAGTTGCAATCAGAAGACAGGTAAAGAAGGAGGCAAGGCAGAGGGATTGAGGCAGGGAATTCCAGAGTTTCGGGGAGTTCAGTTGAACAGTCATTAATTTGTAATTCCATATTATTCAACAACCGGATTATTTAGCAATATTCTCCTGTTGTTGGCCAGCTTCCCTTTTCACCTGGATTCATTCTCAAACCCTGGGAGGAGATTCCACTGTAAACACTCTGTATTGCCAGTGCTGCTGCCCTCAGATGAACTGAGGTTCCATCTGCCTTTTCCGGTGGTAAGTCGGGTTGCGGATAAAATGAGTACTTCCTACAAATATATAGTAGTCTTGTAGGATTATGGTTAGAGCACTCTTCTCCCAAGACCCGGGTTCAATTCCTGGGGAAGGCGAAAAGAGGGGGACGTGGAGCAGGCCGGAGCCCGCCAGAGCGGAGAGAGCAGGCAGGTTGGTAAGGGGTGAGGAGGTCACAGAGGTAGGGGGGAGCAAAACCATGGAGGATTTTCAAGGTGAAAAGATGACAATGCAGCACTTCTCCCCCAGCACTGCTCTGAAGTGTCAGCACCGACTGTGGGCTCAATGTCCTCATTTGGGGCTTGAACTCTGTGCTTGAACTCGCAACCTAATGCCCCAGAAAGGAGAGTGCTACAAAACTGAGGTCAGCTCAGCTATTGTTATCATTCTCATATTCCCAGTTGATATCAGTGGCATCTGAAATTGAGTACACAGTTTTGTTTTGATGTGATGTTTACTCTGTTTACAGAGAGCATACATTAGTAATTTTACTGGGTTTGTCTCTGTGTCTATTATATTCCTCTGCTTGTACCAGAGCTTAAATTGCTTACTTTTGGATTCTGTACCTATGCTTATTCTAAGTCATGCCTTTAATTCTTTTGCACGATCGGCCCATTTGTTATTGGAGAAAAGCAGTCTCTTTGTTAATAATAATCCTTGTAATTTGATATAGAGCCTTATCATGCCTTCAAGATGTCTTAAATAGCTTCCTCATCTTCAGGTCGTGCCTGAAGACGTTCCTCTTCGACCGCGCCTACAATCATCTTCCCCCACCCCTTGGCTCAGCCTCGAGCTCCACCTCTGTTAAGCGCTCTGAGAATGCCGACCAGCGTGGAGGCTGCTATATAAATGCAAGTTGCTGTTGTAGTTGTTGTTATTTCCTAGATAAATGCAGCAGATAATTGTGCACAGCAATGTCCCACCACATTTATCTGAGACGCTGTTGCTAGAACACTGAGAGAAATTCCTTTCTGTTTTCAATTAGTGTCATGGCGCCTTTAATGTCCACATGGATAGGCTGACGGAACCTAGTTTAACATCTAAACAAAAGGACGGCACTTCTGACGTTGCAACACTCCCGCAGCAGTGCAATGGAATCTTAGCCTACATTATATGAATTCAAAGTCCTGATATAGGCTTGAACCCTCAAACCTCTGAATCGAATGCTACCAACTGGCCACAGATATATGGGATATTAACATAAATAGTGAAAGGTATAAACTTGCAAAATAAGAACAGATCACCCGCAATTCCCTCTATGTATGTGGTTAGCACAGGTAGCAAATTAGATTGAAATTATCAGCCATCACTTGTAATCTGTGGAATAGCATAGCATAAGAAGAGGTCAGATGATCCGGCAGTTCATATACAATTATTTTACACAGAAACAGATGAATTAGGTGGCAGCAAACCTGATTGTTTTGATGAAATTAACCACTGTTAACTCACTGGCTTCGCAAACAAGAGGACCCAGGTTCAGTTGCCAGGCAGGGCAAAACCTTAGGCAAATTTGCTCACTCAATCCATGTGTTTTGGGACACAATTGCCCACAAAATGCACAGTCAATCCACTTTCCGATTTATATTCTGTGAAGTGCTTTGGGATGTCTCAACAATGTGAAAAGGCAAGAATTATTATTATTATAACCTAGCATCCGCGAGCTTGCTTGGTTACGTCTTCACTTATGTCTTCCTTGGGGTGATTGTTGAACAATGTTTTGTTTTATTTACTTGTTTTGCTTCAGGGAAACTGATTTGTTCCATAGCTCCAATCCTCCAGATGCTTTGTTGGAAAGCAGTCCCTGGAACTGGAGCCAGCATCACCAAAATCACATCTTTTACATCCAGCTCTGACTCAGGACACAATGCCCTTCAACAAGTGATAATGACATCCTTATAGCACACCGTATTGTCCCACTTTAGCCCTTTAGAATAATAATAATAATAATCCTTGGCATTTGACGTAGCGCCGTATTATGACTTTGAGACGGCTCAAAGCGCTTCACCGAATATATTGTAAAATCAATTGACTGTATATTTTGTGGGCGAAACGCAGCAGCCAATTGCGCACAGCAGCGTCCCACAAACAGTTGTGGATTGAAGTCACCAATTTAAAAAAAAGTTTTTTTAAGGCATTATTACTCCCGGAAAAGTGAACCACAAATCGAATAATAACCAGGTTCCTACTCACTGCAATGGTAAACAGAAATGTGTGGAGTAAGGAAACTTGCCCAACATTTCGCCCTGTCCGGGAATCAAACTCAGGTCTCTTGCTTGCGAGGATAGACCTCAAATTACTAAGCTACAGGATTCCTTTCTATCTCACTGAGCCCCCGGCACCTAGAACACTGCAACCCTCTCCCAGCACTGCATTAGTGTCAGCCCAGACTATGTGGGTTCAAAGCCATAATTTGGGGTTTTCACACACAATCTTCCGATTGTTTTATTTTGGTCAGCTGGGTGTCTGACACCTGCAGAAACCCACCACCATGTTTACGAGTAGCCAATCCAGACTGAGAGTTCCTTGCATCCCACCTATCTGTGTCTGCCTGGCTCAGTGGTAGCACTCCTGCCTCTGAGTCAGAAGGTTGTAGGTTCAAGCCCCATGTCGGTACTTCGAATCACATCGTCTAAACTGACGCTCCAATGTAGTGGCGAGGCTTTGTCGGAGATATATCCCGTGATGCGGTTTGACATGTTTCAACAATGTGATAAGATGCTATATTAAATGCAAATATTATTATTATTATTACTCATGTAACGACTCGTGAATCTTCTGATTCAGAGGCGGAGGTGCTACCAACTTAGCCAGGCTGATGTCCAAAGGAGTGAGGACTCAATGCTAAGAAGAGGTCAGATGATCCGGCAGTTCATATACAATTATTTTACACAGAAACAGATGAATTAGGCGGCAGCAAACCTGATTGTTTTGATGAAAATAACCCTCTGTTTGCATAGAAATACACAGTCACTACACTTTGCAGTAAAATCCTGTGAAGCTGTTTGAGAAGGTTGAAGAACAACAACAAAATTACATTTATCAAGTGCCTTTCAGGTCAGCAGGATGTCCCAAGACTCTGAACAGTCGGGGATCAGGACCTGAGAGTGGGGAGCAGGATTGGGATGAAGGAGGGCAGATATGTAGGAGGGCAGCTGAAGGTACTGTCGTGCCTTGAAGGAAGATTAGGAAGGGAGCAAGGCGAAGGGTTTGTGGGATGGAGTGCCAAAGGGTTAGAGGGACTGAAAGCGAAGGTTCTATATCAAATGCACAGATTATTATGCATAAACTTGCAAACCAGTGCCCTAATCCCCAGCTTGGGTCCAAATCCTTGACTGTCCAGTGCCTAAGGATGTTCTCTTGACATGAAAGGCGTTATACAAATGTAATTTGTTGGTAGTGATGGTGATAGTTTCTCTCAAAAAATCTACGAATTCCAAATGCAGACTGAATTTAAGAATTTGGCACCATGAATCTGCAGAAAAAAATCTCACGGAGCCAAAACTGGGTGGAATTACTGGCTTATGATGAATGCATCTTAGTTCTATTTATCCTTTCTTTTACACTAAGTGGAACTGCTATCAGCTCATCACATCTGCACAGATAATGATTGAGAGGTCAGCGCTGGAACAAATCAGTTTCTATGGCAACAGTCTATTTGGATGGCATTTGGTGTGAAGTATCTATCCCAGGTAATAATAATAATAATAATAATAATAATAATCCTTGCATTTGATATAGCGCTTTTAACGTCTTCCAGAATAGATTGTAAAGTGAATTGACTGTATATTTGTGGGCAAAATGCAGCAGCCAATTGCGCACAGCAGTGTCCCACAAACAGTCGTGGATTGAAATGACCAACTTTGTTTTTGAGGGCTTATTATCAGGCGTGCAGAGTAAGGAAACTTGTCCAAGGTTTTGTCCTGCCAGGAATCGAACCAAGGCCTCTCGCTTTCAAAGCGAGTTCTCTAACCATTGAGCTACAGGACTCCAGTTTCTTACGTGAGGTAGTACTAAACAGTTCATATGCATTGAAGTGATTGATGTGATATGAATTGGCAATTTGCTTTAGCTAAGAAGCGCTCTGAGATATTATGTCACATTAAACACGCTATATAGAGGCAAGTTTCATCAAGGAATCCTGCTGCATAGTTGTTACTGCGCTCGCCTCGCAAGAGAGAGGACCCAGATTCAATTCCCAGAAGGAGCAAAACCTTAGGCAAGTTCCTTACTCCACACGCCTCTGTTTACATTAGCAGTAATTAGGAACCCTGTTGTTAGTCGATTTGGTGGATCGCTTTCCCTCCCTTATCCCTGTGGTACTATTGGAAAAGAAATTATCTTTACAGCACAACAGCCAGCACAGATGCAATGGGCCGAATGGCTTCCCTCTCTGTCTCTCTGCGATTCTTTGTTTTCAATCAATTAACTTTTAAGTGGCGTAACATGACTCAGTAGCAACAAGTGTTGTTAGGCCCCATCCAGTAAGTTATGAACCTATCAACATTCAAAAAAAAAGTTTTGCTTGTTAAACATAAGAATTAGGAGCAGGAGTAGGCCATTCGGCCCTCGAGCCTGCCCCGCCATTCAATAAGATCATGGCTGATCTTCAGACCTAACTCTAATTACCTGCCCTATCCCCATATCCCCTAATCCCTCTATTTTTTAAAAATCTATCAGTCTCAGCCTTGAAGATGTTTAAGGACTGAGCATCGACAGCCTTCTGGGGTAGTGAATTCCATAAATTCATTACCTTCTGAGTGAAGAAATGTTTTCTCAACTCTGTTCTAAAAGGCTGACCCTTAATTTGTGGAGTCCTGTAGCTCAGTGGTTAGAGCACTCGCTTTGCAAGCGAGAGACCTGAGTTCAATTCCAGGCAGAGGGCGAAACCTTGGGCAAGTTTCCTTACTCCACACAGAGCCTAATAATAATCCCTCCAAAACAAAAAACAATAATAAATTGGTCATTTTCAATCCACGACTGTTTGTGGGACATTGCTGTGCGCAATGCAATGTTTGTGGGACATTGCTGCCGCATTCGCCCACAAATATACAGTCAATTCACTTTACAGTGTGTTCTGTGAAGCGCTTTGGGACGTCCTCCCGACGTGAAAAGCGCTATATCAAATGCAAGGATTATTATTATTATTATAATTCCCGATTCTAGTGAGCTTTTGAAAATTAGGATGAATGCACCTGCAATTTCCTCTCCTATTTTCTTTAACACCCTGAGGTGGAAGCTATCAGGTCCTGAAGATTTGTCTTGCTTTGGTGTCATTATTTTCTCCATTACCATTTTTTTATTTATAATAACTTTATTAAGCATTTCTCTTTGACTTATTTTTAGGTTCCCCTGTATGGCTGGTATTTTGTCCTCTTCCTCCACTGTAAAAACGGTAGCGAAGTATTTATTTAAGAAGTCAGCCATTTCCTTATTTTCCGTTATAGTCTCACCTACATCTGTCTTTAACAGACCTACATTCCCCTTGACGATTCTCTTTCTTTTCATATATTTTAAAAGCTTTTACTGTTGGTTTTAATATCCCTTGAACGTTTTTTCCTTTTTGCTTCTCTTATTAGTTTCTTTGTGTCCCTTTGTTGACTTTTGTAGTTCTCCCAGTCCTCTGCATTCACACTTTGTCTTGCATTTGAGTAAGCTTCTCCTTTAGCTCGATACAGCCTCTAACCTCTTTTGTCCACCATGGTTGCTTAACTAAACGATTTGGAGCTTTTGCATTTTAGTGGTATGGACTTGTTCTGTATTGTATCAGGTACTTTTTTGAATACTTCCCATCGTTCATCTGCAGCTTTACCCACTAACAGTTCAGCCCAGTTTACTGTGGTCAGTATATTTCTCATCCCATCAAAGTTTTCCTTACTTAAATTTAAAACCTTGATTTGGGCCTCTCCCTTTTCCCTCTCAAATCCAATGTCAAATTCAATCATATTATGATCACTATTTGCAAGATGTTCCCTTACTGTCAGATCGTTAACTAGTTCCAGCTCATTACTCATCGCCAAATCCAGTATGGCTCGTTCCCTTGTTGGTTCTAAAACATATTGTTCAAAAAAAACTATCCTCAATACATTCTTGAAATTAATTGCCTTTACTACCTGAAGTGTCCTGTTTCTCCCAGTCTATGTGAAAATTAAAATCTCCCATTATAACCACATTGCTTTTGCTATATGCTTCCCTGACCTCCGTATTTATACATTTCCCCACTATATTACAACTCCCTGGAGGTCTATAGACTGCTCCCAATAGAGTCCTACCTCCTTTGCTATTCCTTAATTCTACCCAGAGTGTTTCCACTACTGATTGCCCTTCCTGAAATCTTGTTACTCCTTCTCCTTTCCCAATATCCCTGTCTTTTCTAAAGATCTTGTAAAGATCTAAAGCTATTTAGCTCCTAATCCTGCCCAGCTTGTGATCAGGTCTCTGTAATGGCTACTACATCATACCCTTTAAGCTGAATTTGTGCTTCAAACTCACTTGTTTTATTTCTTATGCTCCGTGCATTTGTATATGTGTCTCTTATTTGGGTAACTGTCCCCAATATGCCTATATATACTGACAATGTTCTTCTCACATGTATTGACTTGTTACACCTTTTGTGATAACTTCATATTATCTTTTTCTTTCCTGTAGTATTTCTGTTATCTTGATCATTATTTGTATTCTGACTGTTGCTCTCATCCTATCCTTGCCTTATGTTTTGGTTTCCACCCAACCCTTCCCCCACCACCCCCTTACTGGTTTAAAGCTTTTTCTACAGTCCTATTTATCCTTCTCGATGGTACCTTGATCCCAGCCCTGACCAGGTGCAGCCCATCCCAGCAGTGCAGCTCATTCCTGTCCCAGTACTGGTGCCAGTGTCCCATAAACTGGAACCTCTCCTTATCACACCACACTTTTAGCCACACTTTCATTTCACTGATCTGTTTATCTCAATGCCAATTTGCACGTGGCTCAGGTAGCAATCCAGAGATTACGACATTTGAGGTCCTATTTTGTATTTAAACCCGAGCTCTTGATACTCCCTTAGCAGGACATCCTTCTTGCTCTTTTCTAAGTCATTGGTTCCCGTCATTGGATAATGACAACTGGTTCTCTCCCCTCCATTTCTAAGTTCTTTTCCAGCTATTTTGAAATAACCCTTATCCTGGCACCAGGAAGGCAACACACCCTCCTCGACTCTCGATCTCGACTGCAGAGGATACCCACAATCGCCTTAATTATTTCAATCCCCCATTCACTGGGGTCAGGGATTCTTGCCATTCAATCCTATTATTAATCCTATAAAACAAAGCCTTGATAGGTAGGATAATCTTTGATGAACCAGCAGCCAGACAGTGCTCTCAATGACACTATCCGTTTCAGCTGATTAAACTTCAGGAGTTACCCCAACACTGAATCAGAAATCTCCAAACTCTTGCTTTAGCCTCACCAACCTGTGCCTAACTAGTAAAGGTGAAGCTAGTATGTGGAACTCCCAATCTGGTTTGGATGCTCTTAAAGACGGTGATGGGTTTCCGCACGTGTTAAACATCTGGCCCACGGAATAAATATGGTTCACCTCTGTGCTCAAGCCACGATCGTTGGAGTAATTAAACACAGGAAGTGACTCTTCATCTGGTGCTGTTTTCAAGCAAACCAGCCTCGAGCTTGGCAAAACACGAGCGGATTTTTTTTTATATAAAAGCGAAGCTGACATTTAACAGGCTTGAAGCCAAAGCAATTAATACCATTTTGATTAAGTCCTTCAAAAAAAAAGCGCTAAATAAATATTCGGTCGGGATTGATTCGGAAGGTTACGAGGAGAAGTGTTGACTGAGATAATCAAACACTCCGCGTGGATAATAGTTCTTAAGCTTGAGGGGCTGGGCGAGAGAGAGAGAAGAGAACATCAGTCGCAGAAGGCATCAAGTGCCAGGGTTCAATAGACCTTGTACAGTTTTGCTGGATTACCTTTGGGGATCAGGGAGTATCTGCATTGAGCAGATGGCCTAAGGAGTGACAGATGGATATTAATGTAGACAAATGCAAGATAATGCGTAGCGGAACAAAACAATGCTAAATACTTGTGTTTTTTTTAAAAAACAACAAATTGACAGGGTGTAACATAAGCAGAGGCGGAGAAGGGAAATGGATTTGGTGGAGTTTGACATTAAGCCAGGGAGAAAGGGGCAGGTGACCATTGGCATGATCAAAGAGGAAGGTCTTCAGATATGAAGATAATAATAATAATCCTTGCATTTGATATAGCACCTTGTCACGTCTTCTAGACGTCCCAAAATGCTTCACAGTATATACTGTGAAGGGAATTGACTGTATATTTTGTGGGCGAAACGCAGCAGCCAATTGCGCACAGCAGTGTTCCACAAACAGTCGTGGATTGAGTGACTAAATTATAATTTTTTTTGAGAGAGATTATTATCTCCGAACAGCCATTCACTAATCGACCATTAACCTGGTTCCTATTCACTACAAGATAAATAGAGGCAAGTGGAGTAAGGAAACTTGCCCAAAGTTTCGTCCTGCCCAGGAATTGAACTGAGCTGAGCTGAGCTGATGATAGACTGTAACCTGTAACAGTTTTTACCTGGAACAGCCGGGTGTCTGACACATGCAGAAACCCGTCACCATGTTTAAGAGTATCCAAACGAAACTGAGAATTCTGTACATCCCACCTGCACATGGAAATTCCAGAGATAGAACAGTTTAATGGACAACAGCTGTAGCGAGGACTGTTCACCAAAGCAGGCCGGCCCGCAACAAGCAGCGATCAACACCTCAATCTGTCATCATCATAATTACCATCACACACAGCAACCTTTAATGTGCATCAACAAAATCATCATTGCTCTGATTAAGACTCGGGCACATAATGTTTCGGTTTATTTACACAGCTGTTTATTCGCGTTTGCTTTGCTTCCTCCTTCCACCGCTCTCCCCCTTTCCTCTCGCCACCCCGCAGACCCCAACACCCC